AGGCAGGAATCGAACTCATGCGGAAGTGGCTTTAGCTTCTTAGTGCTGTGCTTTAACCCACTGTGCCACCAGGGAGGGCCAATTTTTTTTTTGAAGATTTATTTATGCATACAAAAGGTGGGGCGTAGGCCAGAGGTGTTGGGGGTGGTGAGAGGATTCATCAGAGACAGACTGGGGAACAGAACAAGTGGATCTACTGAAACACACTGCTGAGGGGAGCAGCCGACAAGAAAGGAGAGGTCTGCTGCGCCATGTGGGTCAACTCCCTGGCCGGGGATAAAACACCTGCTGCAGTGGCTGCCCATAGCTTGCTTGATAATGTTGAGATTTAACCTCTTGCACCACCAGGTAGGCCCATTTTACCAGAAAACACTGACAAGACATCCCAGATGGTTCATCAACATCAAACATTTTAGATCTTGTTCTTATTTGCTACAAATCTTTAGCCAAGGGTCTCAAAAACTCAGTGGTATAATGGGTATTTTTAATTTAGGGTCATCTAACTATGACCCTTTGGTGGGAATCAGCCAACTACATACTATTTATAGAAAACATTACAGGTATAAAGAACCTTACTTTTTTTTTTTTTTTTAAAGAGAATAGCTGGCAGATTTTAGAGCTATTATTAGTACCAATGATCATTCTATCAGACTGTGGTACAGGTGACTGGCTTGACCTCTGGACTATGGCTGCAGTGTCTTTTGGTTTGGCAGCCTCCTTTGGTTCAGACAGCCTCTTAAGTACACTATTAATAAAAGATAATCCAAACATGGAGTGCTGTGCCTGGCACCTTAAAGGCCCTTTGTGTTTGCTATTATTAACAGAAAGACCAAACCTATAGTGGTTTTTTATTTTCTTGAAAATTCTACAGTGTGGTGCAATGCTGGGATCTCAGGAGCAGACACATGCTAGAACAAGTGGGCATCCATGGTCACTGGGACTAATACATTCCGGTTTTGTAAGTGACACAAAGTTAGAGCACACATTTGAAGACCCAATCATTCTTTCAACACACCCTGGTTAGGCACCTGCTATGTTCCAAGCAACTGTGCTTCACTCCCCCCCCCCCCCCCAGAGACTATAGGAATGACAGAGCGACGTGTCCATTCCAGGTGCCAGGGATCCCTTTACAGAAGGCATTTTATTCTCCCCAGAACCCTGCCAGATACACATCCTCGGCTTCGTTTTTTTCAGGGAGAATACTGAAGTTTTGAGCAGCAAGACATTTACCTCCACAGCTCCTGGTCTGTAGGGAATACTCCTGAACATTCCATAAGCCTTTAACTTTCTCTGCGCTGACCAAGAACTAGAAGAGATACTGGACGTCAACGAGGCATACCTCATCCTCTCTTTAGGGAACCCCAAATGTTGGACGGTTCTTAGCGTGCCCGCTCCGCTGCTAGGGGCACCCCCTTCCTAATACGTTGGGGAGTCATTTGGAAGCAGACGCCAGAGGTTACTGCCCGCGACGCCAAGACTCCAGAGGGTTTCCCGAGAAGATCCTCCAGTCTGTCTCTGCAGGAGAGTGTTGGTCCCGGGCGGCTCCCCTTTCCCAGACTGCACACTGGGGCGCCAGGTTTTCTTTCCCTTCAAAGCTCTACGAGGCTGCGATTAAAGACCCAAACCTTGGGCAGGGGCCAAACGGTCACTTCCCCGCCCTCGGGGTGCATATGCAAATCCGAGCACCAGGAAGTAGCTGGGTCCTCTCGGCAGAGCCCAGCAGCAGCCAGTTCCTCTCCTGCCTAGCCTGGCCGCCCGCCGCTCGCTCGCGGGTCTTGGCGCCTCCGGGCCTGACGCGCTGCAGCCGCCTGTCCGCGGCGGGCGGGGAGGCCCCGCGCCACCCCAAGTTCGGAACCCGCAGCCCCTCGCTGCACGCCCTCGGTTCCCCGCCCGACAGCTTTCCCTGCGCGGGCCGCGTTGGGCCGCCCCGTCGCGCCCTCAGCTCTGAGCTCAAGTCACCGAGGAGCGCGGACGCCGCGCCCCGCAACTTCCCACCGCACACTGGTGAGTTCTCAGCGCCGGAGCGGGACTGGGGGGCTGGCACGGGGCGCACCGGGTTGGGGACCGCGCCCGAGCCACCGCCGGAGACCCGGCTCTGGTTGTCCTTGCGGGCCGTGGGAATGGGGGACACCCGTAGTTTCCTGGACACACCGGCAGCTGAGCTCGGGGTGGGAACCCCCAGATGTCCTCAGGCTGTGGGTGGCCGGCCCCAGGAAGCGAGGAAGCGGGCGGCGAGCGTCTCCGCAGGTGTGCTGCCCGCTGAGCCGCACAGGGGCGTGGTGAGATGTGCGGGGGCGGGTGCACCTCGGGTGCCCCGGCGCCAGCCCTCAGTGGGGTGCGTCTCCTCCGGCCACTCGGTGCAGAGAGAACCGAGAGAACCTTCGCTGGGCAGAGAGCACACCCCGCGGGGATCCTGGAGGGGACTCATCGGGTTGCACAATCTGGTGTCCCAGCTGGGCCCTGAGTCCTCAGAGTTGAGGGGCGAGGTTCAGCCTAGGTCCTCCCAGGCCCATGGGCAGCTACCCCTCTCGATGGCTGCGGCAGGGGTGGGGGCTTGCCGTCGAGGGGCTGGTGGGTACATTCCTCGTGAGCAAGGCGCCTCTGTCTCTCTTGCACTGGAGCACTACAGTGGCTCCGCCAGCAGAGAGGAAGCCAGAGTTATTTTAAGAATTCAGGGTTGCCCTTCCTTGGCCTTGGGGGAAGGGTCTAAGTTAGTTCTCACCATCCTGTGTTGTCTTGGCTGAATGTGACATCTCTGGAAGCTGTGCATTTGTATTAACCAGCGTGGTCGCGCAGATATGTCTCCCTTTGTGTGAGTTTGGTGGTTGTGTGTCTTAGTTTCCCCAAATCACTCAATTTCTTTGCCATCTCAGATCTCAGAAACCTGAGTTGAGTCCTGGATCCAGATTGTGCAGTTTCCTAGTGGTGTGTGGACTTAGACCTATTATTGAAATTCCCTGTTTAGGTTTTCTCATCTTTGAGAGAACAGATCTACCTCCTGAGTTATTTATTGCCTGCAAAGGCCCATGAACATTCCAGGCATTCCATAAATGGCACTCTTATTATTTTTTATGGCAAATGGTTTTGTCTGAAAAAAAAAAAAACACACATACACACAACAAAAAATCGAAGCTCTCTGGTTCTTTGCTGTGTGATTATCTTAAACTTAAGACTACAGAGCTTAGTTACCTGACCTAACTAGTATCATTTAAGAAAAGAAAGAAAAAAATAAGGGATTTGCTGTTCCAAAGTAGGGTCCCAGAATCTGACTAATCTTAAGAACTAACTAATGATGTGTTGGTGATCCCAAATTGTCCACATACGTTTAGTCTGTACTCTGTACACAAAGCACACCCACCACGAAACAGATTTATCTTGTCTAAAACACTAGCTTTGGTGCCTGTCACATAATCAAAATGGCTTGGGAGAAGGAATGAAAATATGCTCTGATCTTGGCCCAGTGGGAGGCCCAGGAGAAAGGGACATGAAGACACAGGGCTAGTTTCCAAGGCATTTAAAGCACACTGACCTCTCTTTTCTGATTTCTAAATGGGGATTTGAGGAACTCAAGCATCAGCTTCTCTGGGCAGTGGTGTTCCACCTGGGAATCCCCACTTCTCACTGCTTACTCTGCTGTATCTCTGGGACAGAACAGGCTTCCTCAGAAGTGTAAGTGGAGTCTGTAAAAGTAGCTTGCCAGATAAAATAACCCAATTTATCTTGGAATTATTGGCATTGTAAAGATGTGTGGAGATTTGTAATATCCCCTCTCCACGGCCATTATTTTAAAGACGAACAACCTCACAGTTTTGTGAACCTTGCAGTATTGTGAATTAACTTTCAAAGCCTTTTAGTTCCTTTATATTTGTTTGCAAACATTACTGAAACATCTGAGATTCCACTTGTTCAAATGAATATATGGGGTTGTAATTTAACAAAATTAAATCTTAGTTCCAATGAAGAAATACATACTAATTAAAAATCTATGTAAATAAGAATACAGTGTTTAGAAAGAAGTCCACAGCCTGGGACATTGTTACAGCTCCAACTGTTAATCTGAGTGACTTCTTTGTCCTGGGGCATGGGTATTAGTAGCCCATGCTACTCATTAGAGCAAAATTGACCTGACACTTGGCAACAGACGCATCCTCATGTCTCTTGGACTCTCACTCCCTGGCAGTGAGAATCTGAATGCTGATTTCCTTGGGGCTCTCATGGCCTCTTGGGCTGGGCAGGGAAAGGTGTAAAAAAGATTTGGTGGCATGGTCCTGATTAAGTGCCACTGTTGAGAAGTAGGTATGTTTTATTGCTCCAGCCTTAGAGAGTTCCTCATTTTTCTGTTTGTGGAACTGTAGAAGATAGCCAGTTACTTAAACTGAAAAAGTTAATAGCTCTCACTGCAAATTTTTGTCTAAGTGACTAACTGCCCAGGACAAATGAGTAGATGTACCACCAAGCAGGGAGCTTAAGTTGTGTTGGGGCGATGAACTTCTGTGCATTTCAGTGCTGCTCTGTGTTTGGGGGAAGGGAACTCTGAAAGCAATTGAGTTGCATCTCTCCTGGCAAGCGTTAGAGCTGCCCCAGCGGAGACTTTTCATTATCAGGTTATTGGTTAATACAGAAGTGCCCAAGAATACTTTGCAAATGGATCCCCTCAACCTCTGCTAGAAGTGCCTCCCCACACATCTTTTTTTGTGGTTATTAGAGCCACATAGAGCAGCATTGTTTGAGATGAAAATAAAAAGTGAGGACACCCACACATAAAATGCACATTAAAATGTGCACCCCATTTCCTGACCAACTGCTATGATTAGGGCACCCTGCTGAGCCCACACTCTTACTATAGATCCATGTTGGTTCCCACCTTTTAACATTGGTAATAAAAGAAAAGGACAAGGAAGAGGAAGTTTTGTTTTTTTTTTTTTCTGTCAGAAATACTGAAAGATTTCTTACAGCTGCCTCGTTTCCTGATACTTAAATTGTGAAACATTGACTTCACTTTATCGTTTCTAAAATTTATTTTGAGTAAGTTCCCATTTGGCGGTGAAGTCCAACTGCGAGAGACCTGCCAATTGAGGAATCAGAATTTTTGAAACAGGCCAGTTTAGATAGGACCTTCTCTTCAGATATCTTTGGCTTCAGTTTGCTAGAAGAGTCTCTTGTAATTTAGACTAGCAAGTACAAATACTTCAGATGCTGAGTCTCAAAGACTCATCTGACATGTTGCAGGGGCATATTGTAGCCTTTGTTATTCATTCTTGGACTTTTTCAGATCTTGTTCTGTACTTCACTTTTCCTTAGTCCTGAATAAGTTGTCAACATTCTTTGGGCCACTAAGCTATTTCTTAAAAGTCATATACACAATATAGTTTTCATTTGTACAGAACTATTCCAAGTGTTGATTGTTTAACTCTCAACATATTTCCAGTCTCCCTTCTCTAGCTCCTGTCTTCACCATCTTACAAAATCTTATAACCATGAGTTAATGAAAAGAGCTAACCATGATAGGGAGACAGTATTTATTAGTCTCACTATACTAAGAGGTGTAAATAATGCTTCATAAATTACATGAACAGGAATGAATTTCTGGAATCCATTCAAGTGGGTCTTCTAAAAATTTATTTATTTATGCATACAGAACTGGGGTATAGGCCAGAGATGCAGAGGATTTACCAAAGATAGAGTGGGGAGCAGAACAGGCAGATTGACTAAGTACAATGCTGAGGGGAGCAGTGGGAAAAACAGGAGAGGTCTGTTGAGCCATGTGTATCACCTCCGGGGTGAGGTTCAAACTCACACTGAGGTGGCTGTGGCTGACTTGCAGTGCTGTGCTTTAACCCTCTGTGCCACCAGCGAGGGCCAGAGTGGGTATTTCTTAATGGACTCAGCTCTGCTCTTGTTGAGTAACAGGACAATGACAAGAAGGTCTCATCTGTGTAACTCAGAAGACCTCCTAGTCTGTCTCATTTCCGTTTTATAGTTCACGTTCCAGACAAGTCACATATTGCTGGGCCTGCCTGCACTTCCATCTTTTTGTCAGTGTTTAACATCACTCTCACTACTCTATATTAACCCCAAATCAGGCTGATTGGAAGCCTGTAGTCGGCATCTTTCTCCAGCCCCCTTCTCTTGGTTGCTTCTCTCGGCAGGCTGGGAGCTCCGGTGACTTCTCTGAGCCCTTTTTAAGAAACTGGTGACAGTGCACATTGAGACTGGAGAGATGGGTGTGGACCCATTCTGCCTCCAGTATTAGTGTCATGGTATTTGGGCTCTCTGATTGTCGCCCCCTTCCTGTAAATGTTAACCCTCTTGGGAGTTTGGGGAATGGAGAAGCTTGTCTCAGAGACGCCTTCTGGAAAGGGAAGACCACTTCTGCTTTCCACAGGGAAGCTATGTCACAGAGACAGAGCAGAACTGTAGTGAGAGGTCTGAGGGAGGAGGCCTGGAGGAAGTGATACTTCCTCCTACTTGAAGGCCCAGGCCCAATCATTTGCTTACAACCCCACCTTCTTTACCACCCAAGATTGCTTTTTTTCCCCTCAGGGTTCTTTTTGCCACCTTCTGTTCCCATCATTTTCAGTTTGCTTTTGGAGGTGAGTGGGGAGAAGCTCATACTTGATATGAGCTTCAACAACAGAAATATGTACACTTTGACATTTACTATTTTAGAAACCACCATGAAATTCTAAGTAGATGTTTGAAATCTTTTAATGCTTAGGCAACATAATAATTTCTTAATCCCAACTAATAGTTCAGTGCTATTTTTTAAAAGTACCTAAGCTATATAGCCTTTTGTTAAATTCTTGGGATAGAGTTGTGTCTTTTAAACTTTTTGGACTATGACTATTTCTAGAAATACATTTTATCTTGTGTCTGAATATATAGCTAGATTTCAACATTTCAAAAGAAAGAAAGAAAATTTGCTCAAAGGCTCTTATCCTCACTAGTTAGAGGATTGTGACCCAGATCAATCCTCTTGAGTTCAGCTTGGTAAGATCCAGCAG